GGGACAGGGAGTGTTTACCTTCCTGATGCGTAAACCTCTGCCGTGTCGAACAGGTTCACCCCGCTGTCATAGGCCACCGTCATCACACTCTCTGCCATCTACACACACAGCCATCAGTTACCATGGTTACGTAATTGTCCACCATACAGGATGCTCCCAGCATTCCCAGTAAATCCACTGACACGACATTTACAGCACAGACCTCCTGACAGACAATAAACCAGTACTCTCTGGGTTCTATCCGGGACATCATGTCCATGACCCGTCTCTGGGTTGTATCTCATGTCATGTCCATGGCCAAGGCCAAGGCCAAGGCCTCCTACATACTCCTACCCCACTGAGGGACAGTTCACTAAAGGGGCCTGTTAGAACTCTTTAAGAACCCTTTCAGTCCACCTTAGTCTGTCTATTGTCTTCATTGAACTACCCTGAATCACGGTTCTTTCCTTGTCCACCATCCTGAGGACACATCATTGCTCTGATGCTAACACTGAACGGAGATGTCTTCAGGTCCAACCTGAGAGACGTCTGTCATAACAGCCTTATATCCCCACTACCAACTTCTTCCAATGGATTCCAAGCTTTGGACCAGAAATGTACCCAGCTAACTAGCTATTCAGCTAACTAGCTAATCAGCTAACTAGCTAACTGGGTAACCAGCTAACCAGTTGACCAGATAACCAGCTAACCAACTGAACAGCTAACCAGGTAACCATCTGGGCAGCTAACTAGCTAATCAGCTAACTATCTAACCAAGTAACCAGTTAGCTGGTTGACCAGCTAACTAGGTAGCCAGCTAACCAGCTGACCAGGTAACCAGTTAACTGGCTAATCAGTTAACTTTCTAAACACCTGACCAGGTACCCAGCTAACCACTAACCAGCTAACCAGCTAACGCTGCGGTTGTTGGAGAAAATGGACGGCCGGTTAAAGGGAAGTTCCCTGGAGGAGGCCTCTGCCTCACCTTCCTCCACACACCGGCTCTGTGGAAACCATGAACCCCAGCCATTATTCTGCTGATTAAAGCTCCTAGAGACCATCAGCAGATGGCAGCCATGTTTTCTAACATCAGAGGGTTAAAGCAGCCCTGCTTCCTGTCTGACAGGCACACTCAGTAGTTACCTCTTCAGAGATCTGAGAGCCGAAGGTCACCCAGGTTCCTGTGGAAACAGAGAGAATGGTTCTGGTTCCATATATGTACAGACTGCATACATGGTGTTGGTGTTCTGCAGGACTCACCCAGACCCAGGCAGGACACTCTGAGTCCAGACTTCCCCAGGTTCCTGTCAGAAAACC